AAGACCTGTGGGGGTGTAAGAGGTGCGTAAAATGCATAAACACCAAGACACTACAGTAGTGACACGGTTTAGTTTTTGTTCTGAGAAAGCATCTTGCACCAATTGCAAGGCATGTCTAGCTTCATTAATAAGTGTCCGGGGAGACTTTGGGTCTGCGGGGCCTCTGAGCATATCAAAAAGAGGCTTAAGCTGACCAGTAGTTAATTTAAGACTAGGCCTGATCCAGTTAATGTCTCCCAAAAACTTTTGGAAATCATTCAGCGTACTGAGATGGGCAGTTGATAAGACAGGAGTCTTATGGGACACTTGATTGGAGTCAATGAGGCGACCCAAATAATGGAAAGGAGTTACCTTTTGGACTTTGTCAGGAGATATAACTAAGTTTGAATTTGTAAGGAGGTCACTTAAATCCTGAAAGGCTTCCTGTAGGAGGCCAGGGGAAGGAGCTGCCAAAAGGAGATCATCCATATAATGTAACAAAAGGACATCCGGATAGCGCTCATGGACGGGTGCAATTACCTGAGCAACAAATTTCTGACACAAGGTAGGGCTGTTCGCCATACCTTGAGGAAGAACTGTCCATTCATAGCGCTCAAAAGGCCTGTCAAAATTGGTTGCAGGAACACTGAAGGCAAACCTGCAGCAATCTTGAGGTGCCAAGGGGATGGAAAAGAAGCAATCTTTCAAATCAATGACTAGTAATTCCCAATTTTGAGGAACAACAACAGGCGAAGGGAGACCAGGTTGCAGTGGTCCCATGACTTCCATAATTTCATTCACTTTCCTAAGGTCTTGTAAAAGTCTCCATTTACCAGATTTCTTTCTAATGACAAAAATAGGAGTATTCCATGGACTGGCAAGTAGTATTAGCATTTTCATAGGCCAATTGTTTTGTAAATAATTGAGCTGACTCGCTATCTCCAAATTGCCGTTTGACTGCCTGCATTAATCGAGAGATAAAATTTTGGTAGGGTTCCTCATTTCCCTGTTTAATTTTGGTAATTTCATCAGTAAATTCTCCATGAGTGGGAAGCTTTCTCCAGGCACGCAAAGCTAAAGCGTTTACCTGCCCAAATGCCGCTTCTGGGAGGGCAACTTGTGCCTGAACACTTTCATAATCACCTGTACCTTTTAACATCTGTAAATTAACTCCCACTCTTTGTCTCTCATTCTTTTCCGCCAACTCAAAAGCGGCATCATCATAATAAGCTTTCCACAATAAGTAGTCGCCACCTGAAAGGCAGGCATTGGCGATGCGATGCCAATCTGCAGGGGTCATGGCCTGAGTACCAAAATTTTCGAGTAAAGAGAGTATAAGGTGCAGTGGGTCCATAATTAGTCACTGCCTCCTTGAAATCTTTCATGAATTTTGGTGGAATAGGTTCATAATGGCGAACAATCTCGCCGTTCTGATTGGTCACCTCTATAACAGGACAGACGAGGTGAAGGTCAGAATCGGGAAATCCCTGTTTCATAGACTCAAAGGCATAAGTAGTTGCAAGGATAGGTTCTCGTGGCGTAGAGCACACCACAGGCTTAGAGGAAAGCGTAGTAACAACAGGGAAAGCTTGAGGTTTGGAAAGCGAAGCCAGAAGCCTGGATAATTCCTCGAGGGTAGAAATTGAGGGCACAGCTGAAGCCCTTACCTGCGCACTCTGAAGCGCTGATTTCTGCTCCGGCTTCGATCTTTTCGTCCGAAGCTCCCCCATTTCTGGCTTCAGGTCCGACTCCAAGAGCGGAATCGGGCTCGTTTAGAGGATTGCAAGGTGGTAAATTACCGCCGCCCCCTCCACCATCAGGGTTAGATTTGCTAGAGAAAGAAGAGGAACTAGAAGCAAGAGAAACACCAGGGGAGCAGTGAGGCAGGCAGATAGCCTGGCGCAGGTGAGGCCAGACCGAGAGAAGCAATTCTGCCTGCGGAGAAAATTGATGAGCGGCGGCATATTCCTCAATCTTAGTTCCTATTTTACTCCACGTCGATTTATCTAACGATCCCTCCTCAGGGACCCACGGACACAATACATAAACAATCTCTAAAAACTTAGAAACATGCTTCTTTTTTACGTCAACACCTCTATTTCTTAACATTTGATGTAATAACTTCGTGAACATTAACTTATTTTTGGACTCAGACTGCCCCATTTTACTCCAGATGAATTTTGAGTCCAGAACTACAAGAACCGCGGCTTTACCTTGTCTCCTTTGATTTGTGGTGCGTCACTGTACCTCTCGTACTCAGGTCCCTGTTCCCAGGTGCCAGATTCACCTCTCGTACTCAGGTCCCTGTTCCAAGGCGCCAGATTCACCTCTCGTACTCAGGTCCCTGTTCCAAGGCGCCAGATGTCGGGGTCCGGCACGTCTGCCGGGGGACTACCGACCCGCGGGAGTCCCCGAGACCGCCAACGTAGATGTCTCGTTCAACCTGAGAGAGACAGTGCGCGGAAAAGAAAGAATATAGAAAAGTAGAGTCTGGAGGGCTGCGTGAAGATTATGGCCAAAACGCAGCAAATTTATTTTTGTGGGTTACAGCTTTTATACCTTTTGTCTTGTTTACATTTACGTCATCTCAGCAGAAAGAAACAAAGGGGAAAACAGAAAGGAAACAAAAACTCCATAAAATAGATATCCGGGGCTTGATATCCGCTCAGGAAGCAGTTTAAGGGGGCTAGTGGTAGTAGTTTACATTTCAATGATTTTACATTCCAAAGATACAATAGCACCCTTAAGGTGGCTGGTTAAACCTGTTTTGCATCAGGAGCTAAAACAAAGGCTTGGCTCCAGGGAAAATATGGGCAGAGGTCTCTGCTCCTCTTAGACATTTCAATTGCAGCAAGTTTATTGCTTACACAGAGACTGAAGGGGGACATGGAAGCAGACAGCACAATGTCCTCATAAACTGCAGGCCTTTGCTTTACATTCTGTTGTTGCTTTTAGTGAGTCAGCTTACGGCCCTGTCTCACTCGACAGCCCTCGAGGTGAGGAAATGCAGTACAGGTCCAGCAGCCAAACTGAGACGAATCAACTAACTGTCTCGAGCTTTTGGCGCGAACACCACATCAAATGGTATTTATATTTCTAGATCCTCCATGAATTGCCACACTATCTTCCACAATTGTTGAATTAATTTATACTTTGCATGACCTTCTTGTGGGTTCTTGTGTCTTGGAAAGAATAGCTAAGATCAGGTAAAACTGCCAAGAGTTCTAGATGCATCCAACACATACGGAATGAAGTAGGAAATCCAGTCAAAGTAGGTTTCAGATCTTGTGTTCCTTGCATTTGTGCCCAGTTTCTAAGTTCTGCATTTTTAGCTTGCACATATCTTTCCCTTACATTAAATGGTCTAGGCACACCAATTAAAAACAGACTGTCGGATTGAAAAAGGAAGCATCCACTATTATATGCTATCTAAATGAAACTTTAAACAGAAAGAGAATAGATTAAAAGGGTAGGAAAGGATATACCACACAAACAAAATAAAAGTGTGGCTATTTTAGCATCAGACAAGTAAACTTCAGAACAAGGGATATTACCATGTGTAAAGAGGGACATTATAAAATGATGATAATGGGGTCAATTTACCAAGAACTCACACAATTCTAAATGTACACACAAACTGACAAGTTTGCTTCTAATTTTATGAAACAAACATGGGTAAAACAAAGGATAAATAGACATATCCACAAATACAATTGAAGATTCAACACTCTTCTGTCAGTACTTAATAGAACTAGTATACTGAAAATCAATAAAGATATATAACAGAGGTCAGAAACCACCTACTTTTGTTTACAAAAGTTTTATTGGGACATAAACTCATTTGTTTACCTCTTGTGTATAGTTCCTCTCGTACTATATGACAGAATTTAATAGTTGCAAGGGAGACTGTGTTACCCAGCAAGACTGAAATATTTACAATCCGGCTCTTTACAGAAAAAGACTGCCAACTCCTGATATAGAAGACCTGAATAATATCAGTCCCCATGACCAATTTACAAATAGCGTATCTCTCAATGGCAGGATACACATTCTTTTCAAGCACACATGAAATATGACAAACTGTATTATGAAACAATAAAGTAATTAAATACATTTTTTTTAATTGAAACAGAGGCTCGCACTATCACCAGGCTGAAGTGCAGTGGCGCGATCCCGGCTCACTGCAACTTCTGTTTTCCAGTTTCAGGCAATTTTCCGGCCTCAGCCTCCCAAGTAGCTGGGACTACAGGCATGCACCACCACGCCTGGCTAATTTGTTGTACTTTTAGTAGAGACGGGGTTTCACCATGTTAGCCGGCATGGTCTCGATCTCTTGACCTCGTGATCTGCCTGCCTCGGCCTCCCAAAGTGCTGGGATTACAGGTGTGAGCCACCGAGCCCGGCCAAAATACCTAAATAAATTTAAAAGAGTTAAATCATAGAATATGTTCTGTGACTATAACAGAATTTATCTCCAAAAACAAAATCTTGTCTGGAAACTTCCAAAACATTAGAAAAATTAAAGACGCTTCATATTATCCCATGGGTCAAAGAGGAAATCATAAAACATTTTTAATTCAATAAAATGAAAACAAGGTATCAAAATATATGGAATGCAGCTAAATAACTGGAAGCAAATTTGTTGGATTAAATGCTTATATTAGAAAACAAAAAAGATATAAAATTAAGCTTTATATTTAAGAAAATAAAGAGGCCGGGCGCGGTGGCTCATGCCTGTACTCCCAGCACTTTGGGAGGCCGAGGCGGGTGGATCACGAGGTCAAGAGATTGAGACTATCCTGGTCAACAAGGTGAAACGCCGTCTCTATTAAAAATTCAAAAATTAGCTGGGCATGGTGGTGCGTGCCTGTAGTCCCAGCTACTCGGGAGGCTGAGGCAGGAGAATTGCTTGAACCCAGGAGGCAGAGGTTGCGGTGAGCCAAGATCGTGCCATTGCACTCCAGCCTGGGGTAACAAGAGCGAAACTCTGTCTCAAAAAAAAAAAAGAAAAGAAAGGGAAATTGAAACCAAAGCAAGCAGAATGAAGGAAAAAACAAGTGAGTTAATATACCACTCTGGTATACTAAGTTAAAGGCACTTGGAAAATAGCAGGTGCAAAAAGATCACTGTGATGTTTGTACCAGTTCTTAAAAACAGAAAATAAATTTCCCTTGTGAAAGACACCCTCTTGGATGGGTGCGGTGGCTCACACCCGTAATCCCAGTGCTTTTGGGAGGTCCAGGTGAGAGCCTTGAGACTAAGAGCTCAAGACCAGCCTGGGCAACATGGCAAGGCCCCATCTCTTAAAAAAAAAAAAATGCCAAGTGTTTACCTGTAGTCCCAGCTCTTCCAGAAGCTGAGGCAGGAGAATCGTTTGACCACAGGAATTCAACACTGCAGTTTAGTGAGTTTTGATTGTGACTTTTTCCCTTTATTTTCTTTCTTCTTTCAAGACAGGGCCTCACACAGCCTGTCTTGAAAGAAGAAGAAAGAAAAGAAAGTGAAATGGTAAGAAGGAAGGAAGGAGGGAGGGTGGGAAGGAAGGAAGGAAAATACCTTCCTTATAGTAGAAAAAAGGAGCAACATGCTTTTCCTCAAAATGAGAAGTCAAGCCCAAAATTTCACACAGACCACCTTAAAATAACATCTTTCAAGCCTCTCCACATGATCTAGTTGCTTCTTCTTTAAAAAATAATATTTTTTATTTTTAACTTATTTTTATTTTGTAGAGATGCAGTCTCACTGTGTTGCCCAGGATGGTCTCAAACTCCTGGTTTCAAGCTATCCTCTTGCCTCTGTCTCCCAAAGTGCTTGGATTACAAGCATGAGCCACCAGGCCCGGCCTAATGGCTTCTTAACAACGTACTATTCTTTGTTCACTACAGTATATACATAACTGACTGTTTCTTTGGAGCTTCATTTTCTATTTTCTTTTTCTTTTTTTTTTTTTTGAGACAGAGTTTCGCTCTTGTTACCCAGGCTGGAGTACAGTGGCACGATCTCAGCTCACTGCAACCTCTGCCTTGTGGGTTCAGGCAATTCTCCTGCCTCAGCCTCCTGAGTAGCTGGGATTACAGGCACGTGCCACCATGCCCAGCTAATTTTTTGTATTTTTAGTAGAGACAGGGTTTCACCATGTTGACCAGGATGGTCTCGATCTCTTGACCTCATGATCCCCTGCCTTGGCCTCCCAAAGTGCTGGGATTGCAGGCTTGAGCCACCGCGCCCGGCTGGAGCTTCATTCTCTTATGAAGGCTCTGGTCCCATGTAAAACTTGTATTAAATAAATTTTCATGCTGTTCTCCTGTTAATCTATGTTATGTTAACTTAATTCTTGAGCCCAGCTCGGTCCCTGAGAGGACAGTGACGTTTTGTGATGTCTACATAAGTCAACGAAATTGGAAACAGGAAAACGATATTTAAAAATCAGTAAACTCATAACCTGATTCTTTGAGAAGATCAATATAGTTGATAAACCTTTCAAGTAACTGACCAACAGGGAAAAAGAAAACAAAAATCAGGAGGGAGGGAACGTTATTGCAGTTTTTACAGGTATTAAAAGGATTATAAGGGAACATTACGAACAACTCTGTTCATCAGTTCATCAATTTGTATGACATGGAATCTTACTTGAAAGGCACAAACTACCAAAGCTCACTCAAAAAGAATGGATAACCTAGATAGTTCTGTGTATGTATGTGTGTATATATAATTTTTACATACATATAAATGTATAAATTTTTTTTGAGACAGGGTCTTGCTCTGTCACCCAGGCTTGAGTGCAGAGGCACGACCATGGCTCACTGAGCCTCAAACTCCCAGATTCAGTTGATTCTCCCGCCCCACCTCAGCATCCTGAGTAGCTGGGACTAGAGGCTTACACCACCATGCACGGCTAATTTTTTGTATCTTTTGTAGAGATGGGGTTTTACCATGTTGCCTGGGCTGGTCTTGAACTCCTGGGCTCAAGCGCGCTGCCTGCCTTGGCCTCCCAAAGTGCTAGGAGTACAGGCGTGAGCCATTGCAACTGTCTGGCCTGAGACATATTTCGAAACGGATTTAATGGATAAAGCCTTCCAACAACAATAATAACAACAGCAAAACAATATTGAGATTACTTCATTGGATGTCTTGGTCCATTCAAACAAACAAACAAAACGAACGAAGAGATTACTTCATTGGTAGATTCTACTAAACATGTAAAGAGTAAAGATGTGAATTGTAAATAAACCCAGAAACAAAAAGAGACACCCACCCACCTCTGGCTTGTTTCATGAGGCCAGCATTAATCTGATAATACCAAACCAGACAAAGAAATTACAAGGAAAGAAAACTACAGATGAATATTCTTCATGAACTAGATGAAAAAATCCTGGATACAGTAGTCCCTTGGTATAGGTGGGGAACTGGTTCAGGGACCCTTATGGATATCAAAGTCCATGGATGCTCAAGTTCGTTATGTAAAATGGCCATAAAATTCTCATGTAACCTTTGCATATCATCCTGTATATATCAAATTATTTCTATCCTTATACGATAAAAATGCCATGTAAATAGTTTTTTACTGTATTGGGTTTTTTACTTGTGTTGTTTTTACTGTTGTGTTGCTAAATTTTATTGTTTTTTTCCTGAATATTTTTGATCCCTGTTTCCTTGAACCCGTGGATGCTTCTGCAGTGTCCACTGGCTTGAAGAGCTAGGTGACAGAGGACCTGGAAAGTGAGAGACGAAATCCAGGGAAAAAGATGTCAAGCAAAGGGTTTTGCCTAAGGGCCTAAGTATCGTCTACCTTATACTCTGCCCAAATTTCAGGCCGACTGACATCGAAAATATATAAAGATTTCTACAATACAATATTAAAGAGTCCAACATCTCAATTATAATGGGCAAAATTTGAACCGTTACTTTACAACAGAAGACATGCAAATTGTTAATATAGCCCATGAAGAAGTGTGTTTGATATCATTGGTCATCAGGGAAAAGCAAATGAAAACTGCAGTGAGATACAACTACACAACCACCAGAATGGCAGATATTAAAAATACTGATAACAGGCTGGGCGCGGTGGCTCCTGCCTGTAATCCCAGGACTTTGGGAGGCTGAGATAGGCGATCACCCAAGGTCAGGAATTCGAGACCAGCCTGGCCAACGTGGAGAAACTCTGTTTCTATTAAAAATACAAAAATTAGCTAGGCATGGTGTCAAGTTCCTATAATCCCAGCTACTCAGGATGCAAAGGCAGGAGAATCGCTTGAACCCAGGAGGTAGAGGTTGCAGTGAGCCAAGATCATGGCACTGCACTCCAGACTGGATGACAAGAGTGAAACTCTTTCTCAAAAAAAAAAAATTCATATGTACCCCAAAACCTAAAATACAAAAAAACAGAAAAAAGAAAAAGAAAAAGAAGTTTAATATGAAAAAAAAAAATACTGGCCGGGTGTGGTGGTGTGGTGGCTCACGCCTATAGTCCCAGCACTTCGGGAGGCCGAGGCGGGTGGATCACGAGGTCAAGAGATCGAGACCATCCTGGTCAACAAGGTGAAACCCCATCTCTATTAAAAGTACAAAAATTAGCTGGGCATGGTGGTGCGCACCTGTAGTCCCAGCTACTCGGGAGGCTGAGGCATGAGAATTGCTTGAACCCAGGAGGCGGAGGTTGCGGTGAGCCGAGATCCTGCCATTGCACTCCAGCCTGGGTAACAACAGTGAAACTCCGTCTAAAAAAAAAAGATACTGATAACAATAAATGCTTATTAGGATTCAAAACAATCAGAAATTGCATGTATTTTGGGAGGCAGTGTGAAATTAATCTGGGAAATGATCTGGTGGTTTCTTTTTCTTTTAGAAACTCAATGTTTATTTTCCATGAACCTTATATGTTGTTTAAGCGGCCACACAAGAACAGCTTAAGACCATTCAGTGGTTGCTGCTACCCATTCAGTGGCCTGAGCAGTGGGAGCTGCAGACCAGTCTTCAGTAGGGAACTGCTGGATAGGCACAGAGGGCACCTGCACCCCTTCAGACCAGTCGGCAACCTCAGGCTGAGTAGCAGTGAACTCAGGAGCTGGAGCAGTCCATTCGCCCTGAAATTCCTCCTTGGTCACAGCCTTTTCAGCAGCAGCCTGCTCTTCTTTTTCAATCTCTTCAGGATCTCTGTAGAAGTAGAGATCAGGCATCACCTCCCACGGGTGTTCACAGGAAATGGTGCCACGCATGTGCAAAACTTCCCGAGCCAGCATCCACCACAACAAACCCACTGAGTGAGCTCCCTTGTTGTTGCATGGGACGGCAATGTCCACATAGCACAGAGGAGAATCTGCGCTATTGTTACACAGAGGAATGGTAGGTAGGTTAACATAAGACGCCTCTGTGAGAGGCTGGTGGTCAGCCCTTGGGTCAGTAACCACAAGCAGCCATGGCTCCCGGAAGGCTGCCTGGATCTGGTTGGTGAAGATTCCAGGAGTGAAGCGGCCAGCAATTGGCGTGGCTCCAGTGGCAGCAGCAAACTTCAGCATGGCCCTCTGGCCAGTATTCCTGGAGGATGTAACACTGACATCAGCAGGGTTTTCAATGGCAACAATGGCACGAGCTGCCAGGAGAAGATTCTCCCAGGTCCTCTTCAGATTTATGATGTAGATGCCATCACTTTTCCTTTTATAGATATACTGTTCCATCTGGAAGTCAAGGTTGGTGCTACCTAAATGGGTTCCTGCTGCCAGGAACTTAAGGACATCCTCCATTTGCAGGACAGCAAGGGCTCCGGACATTGTGAAAGTTTCCCTTTAAGTTACGACGGGAATCCGGAACAACGCCGTTTGGAGCCCTCGGCAGGTAGTGCGGAAAGCGATCTGGTAGTTTCTTAAGTTAAACACATCAAACAATTCTAATAATAGATGTTTATTCCAGAGAAAAGAAAGCATATGCCTGTAAAAAGACTTTTATAAGTATGCTGCAGGAGCTTTATTCCTAATAGTTAAAAAAATTAAAATGTAAGCAGGTTTCCAAAAAAACACATATTCGTGCATTAAACATCACTCAGTAATAAAATGGATCAAATGACTGATAGTGCATCAACATGGATGCATCTGAAAAACACTATACTCAAAAGAATTGGAATGCAGAAGAGTACTTACCATATGGTTCCGTATATTTAATGTTCTAAAATTATTTAAATGTATGGTGAAAAAATAGAACAGTGGTTGCCACCAGGGGAAGGGGTTAGAGACTTACAGGGAAGTGTCATGAGGGAATTTGGAGGGTAATGTTAATGTTCTGATGAATAGATAACTGATAAGTAACATGGCTAGGTGAACGGCTAAGAAATACATGTTGCTAATTTTAGAATCTAAGCTGAGAATATATGGGTCAACACTGTATAACTCTTCCGACTCTTCTTTATGTTAAAAAATTTCAGGGCTAGGCACAGTGGCTCCTGCCTGTAAGGCCAGCACTTTGGGAGGCCAAGGTGGGAAGATCACTTGAGGCCAGGAGTTAGAGACCAGCCTGGCCAACATAGTGGGACCCCATCTTTGAAAAAAAAAATGCCAGATGTGGTTGGGCACACCAATAGTCCCAGCTACTTTGGAGGCTGAGGTTGGAAGATTGCTTGAGCCCAGTGGTCAAGGCTGCAGTGAACTGTGATCATGCCAGTACTCCAGCCAAGGTGACAAGGTGAGACCCTGTCTCAAAAAAATTTTGTAGTAAAATATTGAGAAAAACATAGTTTTGAGTGAAAAAGTTTAAGAGTTTTATAACACAAACCATACATATGCACCCCAAATTCCACACATTTTGCCAAAAGGCCATACCAACAACAGGCACACATTAAAGAGATCAGCCTAGCTACTGATGTAGCAGGGAGAAAATGAGAGTGGGTAGTGGAGGATATAATGGAAAAAATAAATTATGTTGTTTTTTATTTTTAATATGTGCCCTCAAACATTCTCCTATTCAAATAAATGATATTTTTAGGTTGTCTTTTGATGCCTTGTGACATTTGAAAAATTTGCCCACCTTTCGTCTGCCAGATATTTGTTCCACATCACTCATTTTATTATTACTGGAAGTGGAAGTACTCAAAGCATCATTCTGTCCCTTGTATTTTTAAATTTTCCTTTCATTTTATCAAAAAATTTCATCTATTATCAGATTGATCTACTTTAATATGTAAACCATATGTATTTTCAAAACCATTTCCTTGGAAAGGACTCATTAAATAATCAAATAGTCTCATCTCTTAATAGTGTCTTTTAAGCCACTGAGCATTTTCACAGATTGGCCGTTATATCTTTTTATTTTCCTCTTACTTCTCTGGATCGTGTCAACCCATTCACCATCTTCCCTGAATGATTCTGTCTTCCATAAGACAACTTACAGTATTTAAGATAATAAGGGCAGGGTGAAAATAGGTGATGTAATAGATTTTCCCAAGGAAGAAAAAAAAAATGCAGGATGTTATAAGGGACTTACGCCTTCCCATAATAATATTCTGTCTGTATTGATACAGTCCTTCCATTTGCCTTATGAGTAGCATTTCATCATCAGTAAAGTCAAGGAAACGTGGGAACCATCTGCTTATGGCCTCATCAGCGGTTGCATCTGTTTTTTGTGGATTCTTGGCAGCCACGTTCTTGTGGATCTTGCAACAAATACATTATGGCAAGTAGCAACAGCACTATCAGTTTCAGACGCGTCCACACCGAAATGGAATAAAAAGGTAATCCAGTTAAAGAAAGGTTGAGATTTTGTATTCCTTAAATTCGGTGTCCAGTATACATCAGCCCAATTTCCTTTCAGTACCTGCATTTTTAGCGTACCCATCACTTCCATTCTGTAATTTTTTGTTATGTTTTTCGTATTGCAACCTTCTCCGTTCTCTCCTTTATGGGGTATTTTCTTGGTTGGTTGGTTGGTTGATCGGTAGGTAGGTCGGTAGGTAAGTAGAGTCCGCTTTGGTCAAGTTTGTTTGGGTTTGTGTCGCGTTTAAGAAAAAAAAAACTTTAGGGGGAAGGCAGTCAAGCTGGCCTTAGTATAAAGTTAGACTAACGAAAAGAGAATAGTGTCTATGCAAATACTGACTGTCCAAACGAGAAAGAGACTACTTAAGGGGAAGTGCTGCCCTGAAAGCGATTCTGGGAATTGTCCAGAAGATCCACAGGGTCAGAGACACCGGCTCCAGGAAAGACGCCTTTCATGCACGGTCCGCTGGGGCAAATAGAGAAATATATATACGAGCTCTCTGTCTTTGGAAGCATTTCGGTTCCAAGAAGGGCGAATTAAGGAATTCCTCTGGGAGCGGCGCAGGTGAAACACAATCCAGGCTCTCAGCTTGGCCGACTGCACTTGCGTCCCAGTCAGGCAAAGAGGTAAAGAGTTTTCCCGGGAATTGTGGGAAGTGTAGTTTGGGAGCCTCGTGTAGTCGGGTAACTTCCGCTGTAGGCAGCTGAGGCTGTGTCTCTGATCCCATCGGCAATTCTGGGAAGCGTAGTCCGGGAGGTCTCTGTAGTCAGAGCCACTTCCGGCCCAGGAACGCTAGGCCGCGGCCTTCGTTCCTCCCAGAAAGGTGAGCTCTCCCCGCTCTGCGTCCCGCTCCTTCCGTCCGTACCGGTGTTCGTTTTGCTGGAGGCCGGTAGCAACCTGACGGTCACTCTCGGGGAGGAGAATCCACTTGGGGCAAAGGGCGGGATTTGTGTTTTCTTTGAATGAGCCTTCTCCAGTGTGGGGCGCCTGGCGCATTTCCACTTAGGGCCAGGGGGCAGGATCTTACATCGCAAGGACTGGGGGTCTCTTGGGTTCTGTACTCCCCCAGCCCTTTCCCCTGACCATCAGCCAGCTCTGCCACTTCCTAGCAGTATAATAACAGGCGAGTATCTTAATCTCTCTGCCTATATTTCTTTTTCTTTAAAATGGTATTCGTATCTATCTAATAGAGTTCTTTTCAGAGTTAAATAAAAAGACTTAGAACATAGCCTGACAGTGGTAGAAGATGGGTCTCTTGTTAGGACTTTTTCATTTTCTGAGAAGCACTCAATACCCTGAAAGCTTCTGTGAACCCAGGATGGGGGTCAGAGCTCCAGCTGCAGTATCCCTGGTCCTTCTTTGATCACTGAGAGATTTTTCTTTAGGAGAGGGTCACTCCTGGCTGTCTGGGGAGTCCACTGTAATTCATGCGGGAGTTCTGATTTCTCCCAGCCTCCTTTCCTTCGTTAGCCTTGGCTTCTTGAAAAAAGCCTGCAGGGAGAAGGAAGGAATGACCCTTTGGCACCTGGCAGCAGATTCTCACCTGAATAGTGCTTATCATCCTTTCTTTTCATGGGAGACGATATTTCCTTCATTCATTGGCAAATTCTGCTCAAAGATGCCCTGATATTTGTCGAATAAATGCAGGAACGGATGAGGGAGTACTTGTTCATGAGTAATAATGATAGTATTTAAACATTTAGTGCTGATCATTCTAAGAGTTTTATATGAATTAACATATTTAATCCTCACAAGAGCCCTATGAGGCTGGGTTGGGTACTACCATTCCCATTTTAAAGATAAGCAAACAGACACAGAGCATAGGTTGTTTATCTTAGGTCACTGAGGTAGTAAGATCCTGAGCTGGGATTTGAATTCAGATAGTTTCCATCCACTGCCTTAGTTCTTGATGTGTTTAGTATCAGATTGAGAAGACATGTTTGGATTTTTCTAGAGGATCATGAAAGTTAGGTTAATGAGCTTTGACTTTTTGATCAGTTTATTAAGTCATCTTAATTTTTTTAAAAAATATTTATAGTTCATATTCTGATTATAGAAATGATTGCATATTGTAAAGGATTAAGAAAGTATAGAAAGTATAAAAGAAAAAATTTATGCTAACCGCAGGATATAACAATAACAATATTAATATTTTAATCTTTTCCTTTTCAGTGATCTTCTTTTTGGATTTTTACCCATGTTTAACAAAATAGGCTTCATAGTTTTTTGGTTTTTTTTTTGCAGGAAGGGAGGGAGGAAGGAGGGGATGAAGGAAGGAAGGAAGGAAGGGAGGAAGGGGGGAGGGAGGGAGGGAGGGGAGGGAAGGGAAGGGAAGGAAGGAAATCAAGCAATAAGAGAGACATTGCCAACCTGGATCTAGAGGTTTACAAGTTGATTTTCTTTTTTTTTTTTGAGAGAAGGAAAGAAAAAAAAAATGAGTAAAGGAGAGGAAGAAAGAGGAAGAGAAAGAGGGAGGGTGAACGGAAATATTGCTTTATTCTGAAAAAAAAAATGGGTATTAATAATGGCCAATGAATGTTTCATTTAAACCTATGAGTAGGTGTGATGTGGTATTGACAAGAATGTATATTTTGTGTATTTGAAGTGGAGAGCTCTATAAATATTTATTAAGTTTACTTGTTCCGGATCTGAGTTTGAGTCCTTGATATCCTTATTAATTTTCTGTCTCATTGAATCTAAGTCTCTGTGTATCTGGGTGTTAGGATCGTTAGCTCTTGTTGTTGCATTGATCCTTGTACCGCTATATCTTTGTTGCTTTAAAATCTATTTTATCCAATATGAGAATTGCAACTCCTGCTATTTATATTTATTTATTTATTTATTTATTTTTGCTCTCCATTTCGTTGGTAAATGTTTCTCCATTCCTTTGTTTCGGGTCTTTGTGTATCCTTGCATGTGAAACAGGTCTGGATTTAACATGCCTTTAGGTTTTGACTGTGTCTTTTGATTGGGGGATTTAGTCGATTTAGATTTAGGGTTACTGCCATTTGATGTTAACTGGCTGTGTGATCCATTTGTTGATGAAAATTCTTCTTTATGTTGGTGCTCTTTACTTTTTGGTATATTTTTAGAAAGGCTAATACTGGTTGTTTCTGACTGTGTGTAATACTTCTTTCAGAAGCTCTTGTAAAGCAGGCCTGGTGGTAATAAAATCTCTGAGTACTTGCTTGTTCATAAAGGATTTTATTTTTCCTTCAGTTGTGAAGCTTAGTTTGGCTGGATATGAAATTCTGGGCTGAAGGTTCTGTTCTTTGAGGATGTTGAATATTGGCCCCCACTCTCTTCTGGCTTGTAGAGTTTCTGCTGAGAGATCTGCTGTAAGTCTGTTAGGCTTGCCTTTGTGGGTAACCTGACCTTTCTCTCTGGCTGCCCTTAGTATTTTCTCCTTCGTTTCAACCCTGGTGAATCTAATGATTATGTGCCTTGGGGTTGCTCCTCTTGAGGAATATCTTTGTGGTGTTCTCTGTATTACCTGGGGTTGAATATTGACCTGCTTTGCTAGTTTAGGAAAATTTTCCTGAATAATATCCTGAAGGGTATTTTCCAGCTTGGATTCATTCTCTCCATCGCATTCAGGTACACCTATCGAACGTAAATTTGATCTTTTCACATAGTCCCACATTTCTTGGAGACTTTGCTCATTCCTTTTTATCCTTTTTTCTCTAATCTCGTCTTTTTGTTTTATTTCATTAAGTTGAACTTTGACCTCTGATATCCTTTCTTCTGCTTGAACAATTCGAGTGTTTAAACCTGTGCATACTTCTCGGAGTTCCTGTATTGTATTCTTCAGTTCCATTAATTCACTTATATTCCTCTCTAAGTTGTCTATTCTCAATAGGATTTCGTCAAACCTTTTTTCAAAGTTCTTAGTTTCTTTACGTTGGGCTACAACGGGTTCTTTTAACTCACAGAAGTTTCCTATTATCCATTCCCTGAAGCATGATTCTGTTATTGGGATGCGCTCGCTCTCCATCAAGCCTTGTTCCATTGTTGATGTGGAACTGTGATCATCTTTAGAGGGAGAGGTGTTCTGATTTTGAGTATTCTCAGCCTTTTTACGCTGGTTTCTTCCCATCATTGTAAATTTATCCTCCTGTCGTCTTTGAAATTACCAACTTTCATATTAGGTCTCTTGAGTGGACGTCCAAGTTATTAGCTCCCAGGGCCAGAACAGCGGCGTTAAGATTGATGGTGCTTTTCTGCCCTGGATTCTCCTGTCTGGCTTCCGTCTTGTGTCCATAATAGGCGACTCTGCCTTCCCGGGGCTCCAAACCTTGGTCAGAAGGGGAACCAGTCTCGTTTACTCTGCGCTGAGAGCTGCCGCACCAAGGTGCCGTCACAACCGCTGTGCTGGCCTCAGGAGTCGTGCTGGGGACCCGTGTGGGTCCTCCAAACCTCAGTCAGAAGGGGAGCCAGCCCTGTTTACTCTGCTCCGAGAGCTGCCGCGCCGAGGTGCCAGCGAAACCACTACGCCGGCCACAAGAGTTGCGCTGGCGACCCGTGTGGCTCCTCCACTGGGAATCTTCTGCTCCATGAGCGACCAGAATTTGTCTGAAAGTGTGGTGTCCTCTAGTTCTCTGCACTTTCACTGAGAGCTGCAATCCCAAGATGTTAGCGATCAGCCAACTTGGATCGTTCCTCGGCTTCATAGCTTTGTACAAAGTTGGTAAGGGTTTATGGTTAGAGTAGCTACTCAACAGACATCTGGCATCAAGGATTTGCAGTGTAGAATTGAAATTAGTTATCAAAATAGAATAGAAATAACCCCTGGAGATATTTGTTAATTTCACTTAATATTGGTAGATTATATAAACCACCACCAAGCATTTCAGAGTGTTGAAGAGTTGAAGAGCAATGATTGGTTATGTTTTGATAATCTAAAAAAAATTCCTAAGAAACAAATTGTTAGAAATGATAATATTTATAGATCATGCCTTATAACTGAGGTCGTATTTCCAATGATTTACATATATTAACTTATTTCTTCTAACAAACCTATTATTGCCCTCATTTACAGATAAGGAAACAGATTTTTAAAAAATGTTCCTACAGTAAAATTGACTACTTTATTATTTTGGTGTAGAATTCTATTACACCACAGGCATAGTTTGTATAATGACTAACGCAGTCAGAAACAAACCGTTCCAGCACCTTAAACTCCCAGTATCCCTTATAATTGTCCCTCATCATACCTGTAACCACTGGCAACTACCCTAACCACTAAAACTCTATAGTTTTGTCTTTTTGAGAATGTCATATAAATTAACTGATGCTATATGTAACATTTGAGACTGGATTCTTTGACTCGGCAAATTGCCTTTGACATTCATTCATCCGAGTTGTTGTATGTATCAGTACTTCAGTTCTGTTTACTTCTGGTTCACATTCCACTTTATGGATATACCACAGTTTATTCACCGATTGATAGACTTTTCCCCCCACTTTTTGGCATTTATAAATAGAGCTGCTATAAACATTCATGTACAGGTTTTTGTGCTTATTTCTTTAGGGTACAAAGCCAGGAGTTGGGGTTACTGGGTCATATGAGAAATTTATGTATATAAGAAACTACCAAACTGTTCTTCAGAATATCTGTACCATCTTGCATTCCCACTAATGATGTAGAGAGTTCCAGTTTATTTACATCTTTATCAGCACTTAGTATTTTCCTTACTTTTTAAATTTTAGCCATTCTAAGCATTGTGACTTTAATTTACATTTCCCTAATGGCTAATGGTGTTTAGCAGATATTTCTTTTCTTTGTTTCTTTGCCACCCTTATATGTTCTTTGCTGAAGTATCTGTATGCATGCTTTGCCCAGTTTTAAATCGGGTTGTATTTTCCCTATTGTTGATTTTTGAGAGCTGTTTGTATATTCTGGATATAAGTCCTTTGTTGGATGTGTGATTTGCAAATATTTCTTCTCAGCCTGTAGCTTGTCTTTTCATTCTTTTAATAGTATCTTTTGCAGAGCAAAAGTTTCTAATTTTAATGAAGTCTGATTTATCAATGTTATCTTTTTTGGATTGTGCTTTTGATGTCATGTCTACGAAGTCTGCCTAGCTCCAGGTCATAAAGATTTTCTCTTGTTCTAGAAGTTTTACGGTTTTACACTTAAATCTGTGATCCATTTTGAGTTAACTTTTTTTTTTTTTTTTTTGAGACGGAGTTTCCCTCTTGTTACCCAGGCTGGAGTGCAATGGCGCAATCTTGGCTCACCGCAACCTCCGTCTCCTGGGTTCAGGCAATTCTCCTGCCTCAGCATCCTGAGTAGCTGGGATTACAGGCACGCGCCACCATGCCCAGCTAATTTTTTTTGTATTTTATGGTAGAGACGGGGTTTCACCATGTTGACCAGGATGGTCTCGATCTCTTGACCTCGTGATCCACCCGCGTTGGCCTCCCAAAGTGCTGGGATTACAGGCTTGAGCCACCGCGCCTGGCCGAGTTAACTTTTTAATAATATGTGATGGTTAAGTTGGGGTTCATTTCTTTGATATGAATGACCAACCATCCCAACATCACTTGTTTGGGTTTATTTATGTACCGTGTTCTGTTGAATAGAACTATGTGTATAGCTCTTCACCAGTACCAAGATACCATATTTACTGTAGCTTGATAGTAGTAAGACTGGATATTTTTATTCCTCCAAATTCATTCTTTTTTTCAAAATTGTTTTTAGCTATTCTGGTTCCTTTGCCTTTCCATATGCATTTTAGAATCAGCTTATTTATATCTACCAAAATTTCAGCTGGGATTTTCATTGATATTGTGTTAAATCAGTAGATCTATCTTTATCATATTGAGTTTTCCAATTCATGAATATAACATGTCCCTTCATTTATGTATTCTTTAACTTCTTTTTTTTTTTTTTTTGAGACGGAGTTTCACTCTTGTTACCCAGGCTGGAGTGCAATGGCGCAATCTTGGCTCACCGCAACCTCCGCCTCCTGGGTTCAGGCAATTCTCCTGCCTCAGCCTCCTGAGTAGCTGGGATTACAGGTACGCACCACCATGCCCAGCTAATTTTTTGTATTTTTAGTAGAGACGGGGTTTCACCATGTTGACCAGGATGGTCTCGATATCTTGACCTTGTGATCCACCCGCCTCGGCCTCCCAAAGTGCTGGGATTACAGGCTTGAGCCACCGCGCCCGGCCTGTATTCTTTAACTTCTTACATCAGTCTTTTATTATTTTCTCCATACAGATCTATGCATGTTTTGTTTAGACATATGCCCAAGTATAATATATAATTTATTGTAGAGCCATTTTAAATCATGTTGTTTTAAAATTTTGGTTCTCAATTGTAAATTGTTAGTGTATAGAAATATACCTGATTTTTGTGCATTGACCTCATATTCTGTGACTTTGCTATATTCACTAGAAGTTTGTTTTTTGGTAGATTCCTTGGGATTTTCCATAGACACAAATGTTGTATATTAATAGGGTAAGTTTTATTTTTTCCTTCCTAATCTGTATGCTTTTTATTTATTTTTCTTGCCTCACTTACACTGGCTGATTTTCAGTACAGTGTTGAATAGGTATGGCAAGGGTACACATCTCTGCCTTGTTCCTGATCATAGGGGAAAGCATTTTTATAAGTTCCATTATATTTTTAGTTTGGGAGTGGATGTTGTATTTTATCAAAGGCTTTTTCTGCTTCACTTTTACTGCAGCTGGAATTATTGTGCACTTGAAAGTTTGACAAGTACCTGTAAAACAGCCTCATTTAAGTTTTTAACATTTATTTATTTTTTTTTTTTGAGACGGAGTTTCGCTGTTGTTACCCAGACTGGAGTGCAATGGCGCGATCTCGGCTCACCGCAACCTCCGCCTTCTGGGTTCAAGCAATTCTCCTGCCTCAGCCTCCCGAGTAGCTGGGACTACAGGCGCGCACCACCATGCCCAGCTAATTTTTTTGTATTTATAGTAGAGACGGGGTTTCACCTTGTTGACCAGGAGGGTTTCGATCTCTTGACCTCGTGATCCACCCGCGTCGGCCTCCTAAAGTGCTGGGATTACAGGCGTGAGCCACCGCGCCCGGCCTTATTTTTTTAACGTCTCTACTTACAGTAGAATTTCTTTTTGGTGTACGTTTCTGAGTTTTGACAGTTGCTTTGTCATGTAGACTTCACCACCACAATCAAGATTCACAACAGTTGCCTCACCCAGAAACATTCCCTTCTGGTACCTTTTTGTAGTAAAACTCTTCCTCGACTCTTAACCACAGGAAGCCCCTGGTTTACTCACCAACCCAATTGCCTCTATTAGAATGTTACATGAATGAAATCAATACAGTATATAGAATTATGAGTGATTTTTTTTCATTTCTGTCTTGATTTCTCATCAGTATTTTGTATTTTGTATCTTTTAAGGAATTAAACCATTTCATCTATCACTTTGAATTCACTAATGATAATTTATTTGTATTTCTAACATCTGTTAAGTCTGTAGTGATATCCCTTCTTTTATTCTTAATTTTGGTGATTTGTCTTTTCTCTCTTGTTCTTCATCAGGAGTTTAATTTTTATTAATCTTTGCAAAGAACCTCCTGTAGGTTTAGTTACTTTTGTTTAGGAGTGAGCAAACCTATTTTTTTAGGCCTAGATTGTAAATATTTCAGTTTTTCCAGTTAATCAGAAATATCAGGGCCAGGCGCAGTGGCTTACGCCTGTAATCCCGGTGCTTTGGGAGGCCGAGGCAGGTGGATCATGAGGTCAAGAGATCAAAACCATTCTGGCCAAAATGGTGAAACCCCCATTCTACTAAAAAATACAAAAATTAGCCGGGCGTGGTGGCGCCCCTCTGTAGTCCCAGCTACTCAGGAGGCTGAGGTAGGAGAATTGCTTGAACACAGGTGGCGGAGGTTGCAGTGAGCCAAGATTGCGCCACTGTACTCTAGCCTGGCACCTGGCAACAGAACAGACTGTCTCAAAAAAAAAAAAAAAAAATCAGTACTATCATTTAGGTATTTATATATTAAGAGAAAACTTTAATTGACAAAATTTAAGAGATAATGATTGAGTACAACTTAATTGAAGTTCAGGGTTGCTATTCCCTGTCATTAAAATTGACTGCAAATGTTCATCTGATTTGTAATGAGATTTTATGTATTTTATCTTTGAAAAGGACTTTTTTAAACAAATAGGTCCTACCAAATACTGATACCAATCTACAAGCAAATTATTTTAATTGTGCATATTAATGAGTTGAAAGATTTGGGAAGTTGAATAATGACTCCCCAAAGATATCCATATCCTAATTCTCAGAGCTTATGAATGTTACTTTACATGGTATGAGAGATTTATAGGTGTGATTAAATTTATTTTAAGATGTGTAAGTTATCCTGGATTATCTGGTTGGGCCCAGTGTAATTACAAGTCCTTACAAGAGAAAAGCAGAAGGATCAAAGTTAGAAGAAAATGATATGGTAACAGGCTGAAATTGGGCTGGGCACAGTGGCTCACACCTATAATCCCAGCACTTTGGGAGGCCGAGGTGGGAGGATCACCTGAGGTCGGGAGTTCAAGACCAGTCTGACCAACATGGAGAAACTCCATCTCTACTAAAAATACAAAATTAGCCAGGCATGGTGGTGCATGCCAGTAATCTCAGCTACTCGGGAGGCTGAGGCAGGAGAATCGCTTGAACCCGGGAGGCGGAGGT